ATACCATGAGATCTGATGGAACTAGGAGGCATGTCTTCTCTGCCACTTCTGCCCTCTGAAGCAGCACTCTCCTTGAAAGGTACATGGCCCCCAACCTGACCTTATTTTTAAAAAGCTCTTAAAACCTGGCTATTGGGCTAATACGGATGATTCTTTTATGAATGCCACTATGGAAGTACTGTAAGTTTGATTTTCCTATGTCACTTACCATCTTTTTTTGTTAATTGTTTTTATCTGCTTTTAATACTGTACACTGTCCAGAGTCGCACTGAATTAGGTAACCTTATAAATTAAATTTCTAAATTTGAATTTGCATTTTACAACTGGGAGGTCTGATCTGACCCAGCCAGCTTGTTTGAAGAGGTTAACTGATCTCCCAGCACAACAATTTCTACTTTGTGAGGCCACTGAGATGATGGAAGAACAGACAGTAATGGAAGCAACATAGTTTGTGAAAAGGTGAATGCTGCAGCTGAACTAGACCATTTATTTCGAATGGGAGAAATAAAATATAGCCAGGAGCACCTAATTCTGAAAAAGCAAGTTCTTCAGCAAGAAATTAAAGTTATTGGAGGTAAACTAAATGATTCAGCAACCATGGCTGAGTAAGTAATGATGCTGAGAATAACATTCTGGGAGGAAGTGAGGTGACATAAAAATGAAATTGATTTGGGCCATAAAATTGTGGATCTGGAAAGCAGACAGAGATATAACAGTTCAAGGTTTTACTGAAAAATGTGCTAGTCTTAATGTAGAATCATTTATTATCAGCTGGCCAACTCAGGTGTTAAAAGTAGATGGTAGTATTGCACCAATGATAGAAACACCATATAAAGTTGGTCCATCAAATAAATCATAGTGAATCCTTTAGATATTTTATCATTTTGTACAAAAGTAAAGTTTCTTCATGACAAGATCTGGAAAGCAGGCAGAAATATAACTTGCTGGCTGAAGAATAAGAGAGGTAAAAACTATGATGACAATTTAACAAATTTAAAGATAAATGCAAATATTTTGCAAAGTAAAAAGTGATAAAAAGAGATGATAGAACCTGAATGTAGTAAAGTTGCCTGGTGGTGGGAAAATATGAATTCTCAAAGTCCCACCTTCAAATTATATATAAAATCTTCTTGCTGTAATACAGTTTTTGCTGAAGTCATTCAAAAAGCAAAGTTGTTAATCATTAGGACAAAGCCAAAATCCATTTTGAGGCAAAACTTTTAATGGCTCAATGAAAGGTTATAATGTAGTTTTTTTTTTTTAAAACCACACAATCACATTTGGAGACCCAAATTTTAGAACCGTTTAAGTTTCAGAAATGAATGAGAAGTGTTTTACAGTGTAAGTTTCAGAAATGAATGAGACGTGCTATACATTTGTACAGATAGTCCTCAACTTAAAATGGCAACTGGGATTGGAATTTCCGTCACTAAGTGATGCAGTCGTAAAGCGCAACTGCATCACTTGGCGATGACAATCCCTGCAGTCCCAGTTGCCGTTGTTAACCAAATTCCATGATCGTTAGGCGAGGCAACTTCCCACTGGTTCCCCACAACCAAAATCAGTGGGAAAGCCGGCAGGAAGTTGCAAGTCCCAGGCCCGTAGGTGGCTGCTGCCCAGTGGGGGAGGGAACAAGAGGGTGTGCAGAGTTGCGGGGGAAGCACAATGTGGGTTGGGGAGGATGCACAATGGTACAAGGTGGTGCACAAGAGGTGCAGCACATGTCAGGGAAGGTGAGGTGCAGGTCAGGTGTGCGAGGGTTGGGGACAGTGCGCAAGGGTGCAAGGAGCTGCGCGAGAGGTGCAACGAGGGCAAGGGAAGGTGTGTGAAGGTGCAGCATGGGTCATAGAGGGTGCATGATGGTGTGGCATGGGTCAGGGAGGGAGTCCGAGTGGCCAGCATGGAGTGAGCACAGAGGGGCTGGGGGAGATTACGCGGATATGGGAAACATACCCCAGCAACTTGTGACTTTCCTTGCCAGCTTCCCCACTGACTTTCTGGGGGAGCCAGGGGAAGGTTGCAAATGGTGATCATGTGATTGTCCAGTGCTGCAACCGGTCATAAGTGTGAACCAGTTGCCAAGTGCCCAGATTGTGAACATGTGACTGCAGGGTGCTGGTATAGCTGGAACTCCGAGGACCAGTTGTAACCACTATTCATTCAGCGCCATCGTAACTTCAGATGGTCATAGGTCAAAGACTACCTGTATATGGGGAATACCTCTCTTTCTACTCAAAGAGTTTCTTTGCTACTCAAGAAAGCAATATAGATTTTTTTTGAGTTTTGAGTTTGAAAAAAAAGTTGCAGCTGCTTTAAAGATCACATTAAAATATGACTGCTTTCATGAATCAAGCTCTTACCTGGACACAACCATGCTGTTTTCTTGGCAAGAACATAGAACTGGTTTGCCATCCTGTTTTTGTGTTCATATAGTCACTAAGATCGGAACTTGATTCAAGAGAGACTTTACTTATACAACAATCAATCATAATTGCTTAGAACACATTAGAGTTTCAAAAGTATTGGGCTCATAAAATAAGCAATCAAAATGTTCAATACATAAAAAAGGAGTGGAAGACCACTTTGACATCTATAGCTAATAGTTCTAATAAGTGTGAATTACAATTAATTCAATAAAAGCTGTTTCAAATCTATTGGACACCAACATGCTAAGTCCTGGAGATGTGAAGCTCAAACTGCAACACTGAGTTGTATGATATATTACGTGCTACATTGTCAAGACTGAAGGATACCAATCCATTCACCTCTCCTAGGTTTGAATGAACATTTACAACAGGGAGTCCTGCTATGTTGAAATTTTGTCCGTGTATGCTATACATTCTTAGTTCATCATTTCTTTACCAATTGTTAAAATATTGTAAAACATAACATGAATATATATGTAAAACTAGTTTTAATACATAATAGATACATGCTATTGTGTACTTTTTATTCTTTCCAATCCACAGGAAAGAAATATTGGAACAAAATTATGTGAAGGCGCTCTGTGTATTTGTCAGCAGGACAACTGAGCAGAATGGGACCAAATTTATTATTGGGGGGGGAGGGGAGAAGCTGGCATAAAATATACTGAGTTTGAAAATGGGCTGGATCTGCAGAGAAAAACATTCCGGAAATGACGCCCCTAATATATCCCTATGGGAGAGGCAATTAGGCAGTGAATCAGAATGTTGCTGACTCCTCCATTCTAAGCCCCCGCCCTCTTCCTCCCCATCTGATGACCCAAACTACTGTACTCTATAGTAGGGTTCCTCAACCTTAGCAACTTTAAGATGGGTGGACTTCAAGTCCCAGAATTCCCCAGCCAGCAAGGTGGCTGGGGAATTCTGGGAC